TCAGTATTTCTATAGTTAACGCATTCCATTATAATTTTCATGTAAATATATTTCAAATGGGCTTTTTCCTTAACACATAGTGACAACAGTGTTGCAGGGTCGGTTATCACGTTACAATAGTCAAACATTCCTGTTGCTATTTGTTGACGTAATTTGGAATAACGGCGCTACAGTATTTGTAGATTACTGGGATATATTATCAATACTTCCAACAAACCTAGAGCATTGTCCTGTTCGTGAAGAGATGATACTTGCCCAAATGTAGCGACTCTTCATTAATTATACACAGGTCAATCTACCACGTATTGTAACATAGGATACCACTGCGGTGAAAGGGAAAACTGATTAACTGAAAGGCGGAACTAAAATTACATTGTCGTAACAATGGTCACTCTTCCGTTATAATTTATTTCAACATACGTCCTCCTGAGAGGGTACGTAAGTCCCAAAACTTTCAAAGTTAAATTTAAGCTGACCAGATTTTTAAACGAAGTATATTTGTTCTTTTAAAATTCGGCTAAACCTTTCCTACAATCGCCAGTGGCTGAAGGGATGGTGTAAATCCAACTAGGGTCCATGCAGGTAGCAAAGGCACTGTAAGTCCCCATGGACCCTAGTACGGTGATCTACCTTCAGTTGTTTGCGATCATTATTTTAGATTTAATTACTAGTTTTAAGTGTATATCTGTGATAGTTTAGTTGGTTTTACTGTCCTTTGTCGACAGCTATTTAAATTGATTACCTTGTTTTCATCGCTAAATGGCTGTAGTGTTGCCGATGCGATGTTACATTCTAACTCACTCACTCACTCACTTCAACATACATTATATACAACCTAATTACATATATTTATTTTGCTGGTATAATTCAAATTAATTATCGCATGATCAGTCTCTCTGTTGGGATATCGTTTTGCTTCAACTTTAACGATGCACATGCTGCGATACAGACATACCTGATAACAAATGTCGCTATTTTCCTTATGTGTAACTACGATCTCACTCTCCTTGTTTTTGTCATGTAAAGTCGACTGACGAATTAACATCCTTGTCATTGTGAGCGAGGAAAATACCCTGTCAGAACGAGGAAAAGGTATAGTTTCCATCTCACAATATTGTTCCTCCTTGTTCTGATATTGTAAACAAGGTCATCGCCCACTACAAAACTAAAGGTGAGGCGTTGTGACGGTGCCTAGTACATGCATTTATGCATTGGAGAAACCACGACTCCTTGGGTGTGGTAGAGATTGTGAACCCTTCTCCGAGGTCAGGGTTTCACCGACGATCAGGGTTTTATAATCCCTACCACACCCGAGGATGTGTGGTTTGTCCAGCTTATCAACCGCTTAGGACGGGTATAAATAGGGTATATCATAATAAATCAGCATTGCATGTCATTTCATTCGTAACAACTCGTGTCATTCTGGCAAACCGGTCTCGGAAAGGTGCCGATTTGCATGGAATGCACCAGGCGGTCATGGAGGAGACAACATGGACTCAGATAACGACAGAGACCTATTCGTAACACAGAATTCTTAGAGAAAAGATTCGGAGGATATTTGTAAGATAAATAGTAATAAATATAAATAATAATGGATAGCATTTATAAACCGCTAATCTCCGAAAGGACTCTGCGCATTTCTCTCACAAAAAAGGGACGGAAAGTACACATTAAAAGAAAGCTTGTTTAAATAAGAATGTTTTTAAACCGGTCGTGAATGAACTTAGAGAAGGGGAATTGCGGAGTTCATTTGGGAGAGCATTCCAAACTGAGGGCGCACTGTATTTGAAAGTGCACTGTCCTGCTGAATTTAAGTTGTACTTTGGGATTTTTAACAACTTATCACTGGAAGAGCGGAGTGTTCGTGGAGCTTTGTTAGTAGAGAGCTCACTGGACAGGTATGGCGGTAGTGAACCATCAAAATGGCGAAACACAAGTGTTGCAATCTTGCATTTGCACCGAAGCGTGATAGGCAGCCAATGCAGATGCTGCAGCATGGGAGTCACATGATTGTACTTGCGTCTCTTCATCACAAGACGAGCTGCACCGTGCTGTACTCGCATGAGACGAGTGATCTCGTCAAGAGAGTGGCCAAAGAAAACTGAATTGCAGTAGTCCATCCTTGAAGTGACAAAGCAGCTTACAAGACTGGCTGCTGCGTCTTCAGTGAGATATGGGCTAATAATTCCTTTGCCTGCTCTGCCCCTCTACTCTGGAACTCTCTCCCTGTCACCATTAAATCAGCAGTTGACTTTAATTCCTTCAAACGACTTCTCAAGACTCATCTGTTTTCACTGCATTATGACTAGCTACTAGTCCCTCCTTGTATATATGTTTATTATCCACCCACTTTGTTAGCGCTTTGAGCATGGGCCTTGTGCATGGAAAAAAGCGCATTATAACTTCACATTTATTATTATTATTATATAATAGAGGTGAGGTGAGGTAAAAATTGGGTTTAACGTCGTGCTTGAGAATATGTCGCTCATATGACGACGTGCATGCGTGTATATGTGTGTGTGCGGCTGCTTGTACTAGTCCAGACTGAAGCTGTTTTTATAGTGCTAGCCCACTGAGATACCATGCCGCAGTGAAGCATGAATACCTCACTCAGACACATTATACTGACTCCGAGCCGACCAGTCCTTGTTGTACCCAGTAATGCCGAGCGACAGGAAAGGGACCAACAAGTACCATTTGTTTACGTCTTTTGGTATGACGCGGTCGGGGATCGAACCCGCGACCTTCCGCTCTCCGGGTGGACGCTCTAACCACTACACCACGGAGATTATATAATAGAAGCAAGTCGGCGGAACTCGAGAAAGCAGGCACGGGACACACTGACGATATGGTTATGGAGAGTTAGTGATTGATCTAAGTGCACCCCCAGATACTTCACACGAGGTTGGAAGGGAATATCACTCTCTCCTATAAAAGCTGACTCATCCTTGATGAGTTTTAGACGGTTAGGTGCACCAACTGTAACGGTTAAATGACAACGACGACTTCAACTTTCGGTTTGGAGAACCTACACCTTCGATTTGGAGAACATACTGTCGGTGATGATACTCCCCAGAAGCTTGACGATTTATCCACAGTTGTCAAACACTCAATAATATATAAGTCGCAGTATACCCGTCTTTGGCTAACTCGTGACCATTTTGTCAGTTTTAAGTAATTAGTTTACGACATATGTAACTAATTATTGGTATTTAATAAACAAACCTTTTGGTAATTCATCAAAACATAAAACATTTTATATCGGTTTTATCGACATTAGAGTTGACCTTAAATGTAACAAGTTTAATATTTCACAGGGCTACACTTTGCTCTTAGGGGTGGAAAGGACATAAGAGTCTGGGAATGGTTACCAACCCTCACATTACCGGCCCCCATACTGACCGTAACGGTGGACGTTTTCTCCTCTATGTTGAAGGCGTCTCAAAGACCAACTCTGGAGGACTAAATCAGAGGAAGTTAAAGTTGTAAGAAGTACGGGCCTAGCTGCTATGTCCGCATGTACGAGAAGTGCAAATGTTTGTGGTGAATTTCAGTAGCGTTTCGTAATTTTGTACCGTTTTGACAAGAACAGATTTTGCAAATAAATTTTGTTGAGCAAGTTGTTATTATATATTGCCACACGTTTGTTTTCAGCCCAAAAACCTTAGATGCGAAGGATGCGTGATATCGAAGCCCACTGAAAACGTCCAAAGAAAAAGAATGGTTTCACGGGATTCCGGGGTCATAACACGCTCCAGGATACCGTCAAGCGCTTGCGGACAGACAGGTAATTTGCTATTTCCATACCAAACGTCAGTGTACATTTGAAACAACATTTTAAGATATTGATATCTGCAGTTTCAATTCAAAGTAATAATATATAGGGCAGTTTGTATAGTATAAGGGGCGGTGGGGTAGCCTAGTGGTTAAGCGTTTTCTCGTCACGCCGAAGGCCCTGGTTCGATTCCCCACATGGGTACAATGTATGAAACCCATTTGTGGTGTCCCCCGCCGTGATATTGCTGGAATATTGCTAAAAGCGGCGTAAAGCTAAAAGAACTCACCCACTCATTGTATACTATAAACAAGAGAAAAAAAAGAGAAACACTTCATATCTCATCAACGCTATTTCAGGTCCCAGAAGTTAAGCGGTTCGTCTGTATCTATAAACGAGCAAGTGACGATCAGTGAGGGTGGTTGTGAGCGGCCTTTGTGCTAAATCCAGGAAAGTGGGCGAGAAATGTCAGAATAAAACACCTGAGAAGAATGAAAACAACGAAGAAGTAAAACGCTGAACTCGAAAGGACTGAAAGTGACGGTCGGACAATCACTCTCACCTTCAATTGTAATTGAAACAATGGCAATAAAATTCTCTCTGAATGTTTTTTTATTATTTGTTTTGTTTTATCATCGCTGCAGAGTTAGTTGTCAGTGGGGGTTTACAATTTGGTAAGCCCTCTTACAAGGTATCCCGGATATCAGGGTACACAATACAGTTGTAGTCACGGGTATCAGGGTACGCAATACAGTTGTAGTCCCGGGTATCAGGGTACACAATACAGTTGTAGTCCCGGGTATCAGGGTACACTATACAGTTGTAGTCACGGGTATCAGGGTATGCAATACAGTTGTAGTCCCGGGTATCAGGGTACCCAATACAGTTGTAATCCTTTGTCTCATGTGGGGTTTGTGAAAGCGAAGCCATGTGATATGATGATTTAAAAACCTGTTGAGAGGTTTAATAAGGAGCTCATAGGCTGATAAGGCATGGAAAGTGTTGAGAAAACATATTCGGAATCGTATCCGTTGGTCAAAAAGGGCAAGTTGTATTTGCAGCAGCTACGTAAAAGACTTCAGCGATAACTTAAAGATAGTGACATCATATCTTCTATTCACATTTGCATACTTTCAAATGCATTCTATTTATGCAAATATACATAGAAAAGTATACAAACGTACATAGACGATATTGCCACAAATAATGACGATTAAGAGTCAGGTACTTTCTGATTATTATTTACCACAACACTGAAGTTAGTATCATTTGTAATAATGGAGTAAACGGAATTTAACTATACGTGGTACAATGCATGGGCATACATCGGGAGATATTTTAGGCTTCCGTACTTTAGGCTTCCGTTTTGAGTAGAATAGGTGTTTACTGGGAATGCAAGATGTCTGCTCGTTAAATAAATGGTATGTGAAATTACAGCAAACAAAGGTCACACAGATACAACTGTAGATATACAATGTGAGTTTACAGTAAATATGGCAGGAGCAGGTTTCATCAAAGCGACAATATCAACATGGCTATTGTTCATACCTGTATATACCAAACGTACACTATTGGTAGCTCTATACAAACACAATAAAAACATAGAGCTGCCCTGCAGCTAAAACGTGAGTATATAAGGACAAACAAGTACCAAGACAGACAAGTACCAAGTATTGAAACAACTGACAATATGTAAGGTTGATGGACAGTAGGTTGTACAATCTAGTCACTGTCAGAGCCAGGATCTTCAGGATAATTCGGTGCATAAAAACAGTCAGTCTTAACGTGTCTCAATCCGCATCACACGCTAATGCCGTATCTGAACTTATCCAGCTACATCACTGACTGTTGCATGAACAAATTCGTGACTAATGAAATAGGTAAATCAGATGTTTTGGTAGTCCGGAGTAGCTGTTGATCCATGTGTAGTATCTTCTTGAGATCTTGAGGTTGTTCGATACTGGTATAGTTGTTGACAGCAGCTCCAGCTGACAGACCGGAGTAAGTGGGGTGGTCAACAGACGCTGGCGTGTCTCTTTGTTTCTTCGGAGTCAGATCGTACCGACGCCTGAAAGGACAGATAACGTTTCATGTGAATTTCCTTTAAGCATTTTATTCCAATCTTTGGCACAGTATAATCCTTTCTGCGATTCCAATCTTTGATAAACAGTATAATCCCATTCTTGGTGTTCTCTATATCCGTCACTAGATGAACCCGGAAGAGTGAATGTGATTTTTCAGCATGGGACTTGCAAGACAGACCAGGATGACAATAGTCCGGCACTCAAAACACATCCCAAATGAGATAGACGTGACATTTGATTAAAAGATGGACATCTTTACGTATATCCTTCACTAGATGAACCCGGAAGAGTGAATGTGCTTTCAGTTGAATGTGCTTTCCAATATACCTGATAACGAGGACATACACTGCAAGACCGACCAGGACCAACTTATTTGGCCAAGTTGTGTTCTCCCCTGTGGAAAATACATTTATTTCTATTCAAACTGTAACCAATATACAAATATATAACATGTATCATAAAATGTAAATAGTAAATTACAAAAAATATTTATTTAAAACACACCTTGTCACATCATACTTTGAATAATAAGTACCATGAATGTCATGTAATATCTACAAGAAAGTATGTGAGATTTCAGGACAGGCAAGATACACTGTACTATCTGTCCGAGGATTTGCAACGAGACTGCTTTGCAAGAGAATGCGTACCTCTCTTTTCTGTTGAACAGTTATGTTAGAAATCATGAGGTAAATACTACATACTTGGTGTTTTTGAAGGGGTGGATGCAGGAGACCTTATATTAGTTGATTCAGTGGTGATTCCTCCTGTGAAAAAGCGGACACATCTAAATGCCCTTTCTTGTTCAGCAATATGAGTATAAACTAACGATAGAAAGCACACCAATATATAAGCTTTTATATGGAATAAACATTAGGCACTGCATTATGCACATATTCGATGAGCTATTTATACACTAACAATCACATTTTGTGCCACCACAAGAGCAAGATCTTCAATAAAGCTGACCGTTGTAGGTGACAATGTAAATGTAGTCTTTGGACACAAAATGTGCTCCAGAGCAAGTTACTGAAGAAACAAAGTACTGGGGATTATCATGATAAAACATATTGTTGGGGTGTGCCCGATTTTTTGGGCCCAAATCCCGAAAAATCCAAGATGGCGTTACAAAATCAAGGATTCCCAAATCTAACACTACGTGACTTTTCCCAGCTGGATCAAAGCAGAAAACCTTGCACAGTGTTAGGGAACTTCATGATAAAACATATTGGGGGGCTCCGACTTTGTGGGCCTTTTTTTCCAAAAATCCAAGACGGCCGCCAAAAATCACCCAGAATGGTCGCCGACTATAAAACATCTTTATTTGGTGAAATATGTGAGATATATTCGCCGTTCAAAGGGCAATTTCTAATACTTTCAAGAAATCTACGAAACAAGATTTATGTTTTGGTAGTAAAAGATATAATTCATCATCCAATTAATGAAAAGTTGCTGTTTTGATCAGTCATGTGACATCATTTTGTCAAACATCGATCTCTGTGATTCTGAAGTCTCCTTTGACAGTTCCCATTGCAGTCACAGAGCGATGTGCATAGCAGTTGAGAAGATTTACAAATGCACTTCTTTGAGCATAGAAGTTGAGACTTGCAGAAACATTTGATAAAGTTGTTGATAATGGTACCAGCAGAAAACCTATTGGTGTTAATTACTTGTATCATTGCACTTTTGATCTTTAGACAATTTCAAACCTGTTTTTAAAAAACGGGATTGATTAATTAAGTTTATCAATACACGAATTTGACTTTGTCTTGAACAACTCAAAAATATATATGGTAACTACTCATGTGTTCGCTATCAATATGGCTGGAGGGGCGGTGGGGTAGCCTAGTGATTAAGGCGATCCGTCGTCACGATGAAGACCCGGTTCGATTCCCCACATACGTACAATGTGTGAAGCCCATTTCTGGTGAAGGATCGAGATGGCTGACAGAGTCAAGCAGAGTCAACTCGAATTCGGGGCTGCCCTTCACAACTCCTAATGGTTAAAGCGTTGGCTCGTCAATTCGGGGGTGCTGCTCTTCCCTGCGGTGAAATATTGCTAAAAGCGGCGTAAAACCAAACTCAGTCAGTCTAAACGAGAACAGAGAAATAAACAACATGATCATGAGGCTCGAAGACAGGCTAAGTCGCGGAGGGAAGACTCCACTTCAGTACCTTGATGCGTTGGCCAACCTCATAAAACTTTCATAAATGGACATCAACTATATGATGCCAGTTGAAAGCTACAGTGCTACCCACTGATACTGTGCTACTACTTATTGTTACTGCTTTAATTAAAGATAAATTAGATGTACAAATATAGGGAAAATATTTCGATTGAAAAGATGTATCTACTTGAAGCTATTGTACCTCCATTATACCGTGTTATTTTAAAAATATGTTATTCTTGTCATGAAATAAATTTTTACTTGGCATTAGATATTTTACTTGTGGTTTTCTATTTGGGTTATTCCATTATAATGTGTAGGTAACAGGTAGTAGCTAATCTGTTCATTGAACCGTAAATGTTGTTGTTTTAAGGCGTCTGCGAACTACCTGTCTGCGTTATGGGAGGATACCATTTAGAAGTTGTAAAGATGAAGGAAAACCACTGTTTATGGATAGTCAACTTCTTAATAGCAATAAATGCGACGTTTCGGTGAAGATGCTAACATCGTTATCAAGCAAGTGGCTTGCTTGATAACGGTGTGAATTATTCTTTCTTCACCGGAGTGAGTGAGTGAGTTAACATTTAGCGTCATATCGGCAATATAGCAGCCATATCGTGACGAGATCAATTTAATTCATGTCAATATTAAAATCAATGGAATGGAAAATCCTGTCGAAGGACAGTAAAAATACTAGAGCATCACAGATATGAATATAAAAGTAGCAAGAAAAACTAAAACATTTTAAATATAGAAGACAATACAATATAAAACACAGGCTATAGATCGCCAACAATTGAAGGTAGATCACCATACTAGGGACAATGGCTTTCTACACAGGTGTAAGTATTCTTTACACTGTTAGTATTCTTTCTGCACCGGAATGTCGTATTCATTGCAAGACAGAAGCTTACTATCCACATTCAAGTCTGAGAAGGAGACCCATATATCAGAACAGAGAATGCAATAAATGCATCTTACTGGAAAGTTAACAACCATCAGAGCGTGGGAATGACAAGTCTTTATAGATGCATATACCGTTTTCAAGCATATCGAAAACGGTATAAGCATCAATACCGAAACGTCGCTATTATACAATAAAGAAGATGATCATGCATCATTCCTATTACTCGCAGCTTCTAGAATGCCTCTCAAACAGTTCATCTGAGAGCGTTTTGTGGTTGTCTTAGCCAGTCAGGTTTGTATGCACATGATCAGTTTGTAAAATGCTGATAGATCTGGACATATTTACAACATAATAGATAGAAGCGCCAAAACCCTTGACACATTCATAAGAAATGTCTGCTAAAAGCAGAGTCGACTGCTCAATTGTGACTCTGAGCATATATTTGTTTAAAGAGGTTTGATACCGTGGTTTGTGCGCATACCGTATGCGACGGGATGTGACAGTAGGAGCGCGTATTTATGTTACGCAGTTATTTCCCTTTATCTTGTCTTCTTATTATACTTCATGATATTTTGGCAAGCACAAGCATTTATCCTGAGGTAAACCAGGGCAAGAGTTATCTCCCCTTATCAAATTTAATTTGGGTATGCTGTTTTAATTGGAGATAATGTTGATACCCTCTGGTAACATATTTGTTTTAATTTTTGAATATTAATCTAGTGTGAATTTACTATATAAAAAATTATTTATAAAAAATCTTGTTATTATAAAAATGTGTTTTTCATTCATGAATCTATATTTTCTTTTTTAAATTCTTGTTTTTTTAGAGGTTAATTAATGTGTCAAATCCTACATACCGCCTTGAAAATTGATTTTCCTGCTTTATTTCATATCAATACTGTAATATCTTTATAAAAAACACATATTGAATGATAAAAGTAAACAATTTACTTTTAAGATAACTTTTTATTGACATATTGTGCCACAAGGGGGCACAACTTGTCAAACGAATGCCGTTGTGACTTGTTAGTTTTATTACATAATTAGATTCGGGACACATTTTTCTACAAAATGATACCAAATTTAGCAATTTCTTGACATTTTGATATTTTGTATCAAACCTCCTTAAGCAACATTACAGCTGTATGATGTTGTTTGTAACACAGGAATAGATTTGATGGATTTGTGTGCCACAACCTTCTGTCTCCGTCCACGTATACTTACATCTTTTCAGTATAACAAAAGGAATAACAAAGACAAGATTTTAGTCTAAACTATACTATACACTTACCTTCAATACACTGGTATTTCACAACAGAGAATGTAAAAGTTGCATTCCGCTAGGGAGCACGATACACACACTGACTCTTTGTTGAACATTTGTTGTAGAGGGAGACCAGCTCGGTGCTGTTGAATCTGTGATATCCATGTTCTGTCACATTTTTTAGATTTACAGTGACGCTGGAAGTGAGACCTGTCAACCTACAGTCTGTGTTGCTAGTGTAGTAGGCGTCACTGATGGCGATCTTCTTGGCGGAGTTGCATCTGAGGTCATGCCGAGTACAGACGAGTCCACTGGATCCATAGCATGCCTTACTGGTGTATGTTGTACCTACACGAACAAGACACATCACAGATTCAATGTATGAAGATTTACGGTCCAGTTATTTACGATTGTAATATCAGTTACCTTGTAGTCCATAACGCGTCGTTTTCATAACGCACAGATCGGATGTTTCATACATATGTCAGTACAATTTGAGAAAATGTAATGGACGATGAACAAATACATCCCTGACACTTATCTTATCGGATCTGGTGGTTGACAATGGAAGCTCCTCATCCACATGATAAATACGGAGCCAACCATGATACTATGGGACGAGGAGAAACTATGGAGTCTGGCAGGAGATCGACTAAACATCATGGAGAATCTCTAAAATATTGAACTGCAAGTACTGGCAAGTTAGACCTTTCATTTCTGTACATTGGCAATACTGAAATCAAATTCTTCATGGTTACCTCTTATGTACAGCAGATACACGATATGCTTGCAAATACATGATATGCTCTGTAATAGCCTACACCATTAACTTTGGACCCAGCCGTGAAGAGACGGGTAAGAAAAGATCATAAGTAACCTTTCTTGTTTTTAGAGGCGACTAATGAGATCAGGTAGTCGTACTCGCTAACTTGGTTGACACATGTAATCGTATCACGATTGCACAGACGGATGCTCATGATGTCAATCACTGACTTGCCTGGTTATTTACTGGTTACAGGCCGCCGTCA